TAATAAAATTAAAAATAAACAAGTGATCATCTTATAAACAATGCCAAATAATATAAGCTCGATGAGGATTCTTTAATCAGCATGCTCTTTGGTGTATCGTTTGATCTAGAGTGTTTTGTTTGAAAATAGTTGTTGTCTCAGATGGTCATTTTCTGACATTTTCCAACCTAAGGTAAATGTCTGCGCCCATATGATTTACTTTTGTCATTATCCCGGGGGCATTGTCGCTGTTAGCCTCCTTCTACCAATAAAAATATTGAATCATTTTTACCCTACATACTGGCAGATTAAAATATTAGTATTTAAGATTTGAACTATGTACTGTTCCACTTGTGAGTTGAAGAGGTAATTTGATAATGCACAGGTTTTTTTTGTTGTTGTTGTTGTTGTATTATCACAATATAGGTTACGTACCCTTGCTGAAAGGCTTGAGATTGGATGTATTCTGGATTAGGGAATACCCCGCCTGATTTTAGAACCTTTTTATGTACATAATGAGACATCTTAGTTACAAGACCAAAACTTAGGCACAAAAGACATTATGTTTCATATACATTTTTGCACACACTCTTTAAAGTAGTTTTACAAAACACTTTCATCCATATATTTTGATAGTAACCCATCTCCTGAAGGGGAGAATCTTCTGCTTGCCATATCAGCTATGGAGCTATTTCCTCCAAATTGAAACATTGCTCCCTGAATTGATGAAGGAAGCTTTCAAGACTTAGAAAATGAATGAAACTCATAAGCTTCAGGAAGCTCACTGAAATTACAAGACTAATGAGGACCCACATTATGTTTAAATACATAGTAAACATTTACAGGGACAAAGGAATCTCTTTGGTGGAAAATCTTGAACACTGGGTCATGCATGAAAGGAAAACAAAGGAGGAGGAAGTAGACTTTAGAAGAAGCATTTCAGTGGGAGACAGATGATAAAAAGGGCTAAAATTTATTATGTAAATCTATAAAATTGTCATACAACAATTAACAATATCTTAGCATTGTACCTATCATATAGTATTCAACATACTACAATGTATTTATTGGCTATGTTCATTAGAAACAGAAAAACAAGTAATAAATGTGTGCGTGATCATTCGAAAATTTTGAATTTGAAGCACTTTTTTTTTCTTTTTCTTTTCTTTTTAGCATTCTCTATTGAAGACGTCTATTTTCCTTCTCTTTCCAACAGAGACCACTACAGAAATCCACACCAACCAAAATGCAGAGTGTGAAACACAGTCCCAATGGCTACATCTACAACATATTTTGGCGCCTATGGCTCAGGGAACACTGCAAAAGAGGGAATGGAGAGTTTGCAAGAGCCAGAGACCCAGAGTGTTTGCTGTGAGATTTTATCTCCTAATAATGTCAGAAGCTTCACAACATAAAGCCTCACTAACATGACCACTCAGATGTGAGCTGGCCCAAATGACACCAAGTATATGGAAGCAAAAGCTCAAAAGGACTCAACCCTACACAAGGCGCTGTAGGCAACTGAGGAAAGCTGGGGCAGGGTGAAACAACCTTTCCCAGGAAAGAACACAACAAAAGTTATCCAATACCAGCCCTGGAAATAGAAGTAGGAGTAACATTAAATATGATGAGCTGTAAACATACATATATGTGGATGTGGATACACACACACACACACACACACACACACACACACACACACATATATATATATATATATGCCTGCTTAGAATATTATATTATACATATGCATAATGTAACAACAATTAATAGCAAAAGAGGCCATGAATTTTAAAGAAGAAAAGGAGATATATGGGAGGGCTCAAAGGGAGCAAAAGGAAAAGAGGAATGTTTATAATATAATCTCACAAATAAAAATGAAAAAGATGTTCATTTTATAGAGCCAAAATAATTGATTCTAATTGTTTTATCTCATATCTATATCATTGCCCAAACTCACCAAATTACAGCTTTTTCACTTTTTATATTTAAATTTGTTAAGTTAAATCTGAGAGTCATTACAAACACCAGCTGATTATGTCTCCCTCATAGAACGTGTGAATGGAATGGACCAACATACAGACTTCGATGGACCTTAGTGAAGAATGAGGAACAAACTAAATGGATGGGAATCTGGGAGTAAATTATTAAGCATAGAAATTAGGGGCTATGAACAGGTGCCTGTCTGTGCTTTCCAGGGTCCATACTTGGGAGGACAGATGTTTGGAATTAAACGTAAAAGTATTGATCATTCTACAATGAACTTATCAATCACATTTTTACTGAAATTTAAAATTATAAGATATCAGGTATCCACTATTATTCTTATACACACAAACATATATATAATTATGTAATCATAATCATAGAAAGTTTATGAAAGAATAAATAGGCACTGATTCAATTCTGACATCTTTGTGGTAAATTACTTAGGTGCTTAAATATTTGATGAACACACGTGAGTAGTGGTTCTGAACCTTCCTAAATATTGTGACTCTTTAATATAGTTCCTCATGTTCTGGTGATGCCCAACCATAAAATTATTTCATTGCTACTTTAAAATTGTAATTTTGCTCCTTTTATGAACAGTAATGCAAATATCTCATATGCAGGATATCTGATACATGACCCTTTGAAAGGGTTATTTGACCCATTAAGGTGTTGAGACCCACATGTCGAGAACAAATGCACTGGAATAACTCATACAGTCAAACTATGAAGCCTGTAAGTTTTCATACTATTCAGGCAAATATGTTTCTGTCCTTGGAATAAAACAACTCCTTGCAACAGGGAAGCATTGGCAATATGCTCTGATATTTTAGGCTTTATCACGCTTAGGTAAAGCTAATCAATGTAAATAACTTAAATATTAATTTTAATTTAATTATAATATTATTAATAATATATTTACATAGATAATAATTTATACTCTTCACATCAGCGTCAGATACACAGGCACCACAGAAGTTTTCAAAGAATCTCATAGTAAAAGAAATTTCTTTCTTTATAAAATAGTATCATACAAGATTGGGATTCTCTTGTAGCACAGATAAAATCAAAATAAAATCATCAATACTTCTCCTTATTACATTTTTTCTTCTTTGTGCTCTAATGTTTAGTTCTTGGTATGTCAATATATTTGTAAATTTAACAACAACAACAAAGTAATGAACTCGAACCCCAGCATGGAGAGGAGAATTGGGCCTGAAGTGTAAGTCCCAGCTAAATAGCTATTGCCCATTGACGGCCTTTAGGAGATGGGGGATAATATTTGTTCTAAGTGCCTTGTTTCTGGGAAGTCAATGACACTCCAGCAGAAGGGCACACATCCAAGAATGTATGGGCATAAACTAAATTTTATGGGTTAAGAAAAAAAGGACTCAGACTGTGTAGGGTAGAAAGGAGGGGGATCTGGCAGGAATAGGAGGGGAGGGATCATAACACCGGGTATAAAATTTTTGAAGGACTATAAAAATGTAGACTTAAAAAACAAATTTTTGTTGCTTGACACCAAATTAAAAAAAATATCTTGTGGAATCTGAGGCTATAAAGCCAAAGTATTACTGAAAGACTTTGCTTTGGAACTGAAGAACAAAAGAGTGAACAGATGGAATGAGTAAAATGGACTGTCTCATGCTCGCATCAGCTAGTTGGCCTCTGTTTTGCATTTGCATGCTGGAATCTCTATAGGTAAGCAACATCACAACCTGACCCACTCCCCACAGCTTCCGCTTTGGACTTTGGGTAATCTGTTTTTATTTTCTTTTACTTGCATTCAACCTCAGGCATAGTAAGTTTAATCACAGGCTAAAGGAGGAAAATCTTAAAGGTTGATATTTGATTGATTTAGGATATGACTTGGGTATACCAAAATGAACTTACAATGAACAAAGATGAAGATACCAATTCACATGCATTTAAAGACTCACTCATCAATAGCAAACTTCTGTTTACTCTTCCCACACTCGCTGCCCATTCTAAATTACAGGTTTAAGTTAAACGGAATCATAACGGGCTAAGCCATATATAAATTACCTTAAGGATCAGCCTGAAATGTCATAAAATAGAGATTCTTAAGGTTTACTGTATGCGAGAACCACTGAAGATCTTGAAGAATGACTGTGAACCCCACAACGCTTCATCGTTACCAACATCCTAGGCGATGCTGGTAGAGAGACCCACAGAAAGCACTTTAAATAGAAAGGCTTTCACACAGAGACTATCATGATTTCCCAGAATCACGGAGTAAAACATCCCATATACCAGTCAACATTTCTCACATTAGCTGGAAATGTGACAGTTCGCAATACACAGTCCAGTTATCAGCTTCAAAGCAAAAGTAATCATGATCTTCAATAAATATTATAAAACTCATACTATGGATTCCTTGGTTAAAAATTTAAAAATTCTGCACATGTCTGATCATAACTGGTAAGTGACAACTGTACTTTTAAATAAATTATCATCATTGTTAAAAATATATTGGTAGTTCAATTGCTAACATATGAGCTACTAATATTTTATAGCATTTGTAAATTATTTATCAAATTTATGTGTTTTCCTCTTACAGTGTGACAATGTCATGTCTTTTTGTATTCCAAATTTATTAGGCACATTTAGTCTAATTGTCTGAAAAAAGATACTCAGGGTGTTATTATATACAGTATTTTTTTTTTGCCACTGACAGTTACATATATTTTATCTTTTTATAACTCACACAGAGAAAGAAAAATATGGTTTTGTATTTTCACAAGAGGAAAATCCAGATAATGATAAAATTCATATTTCCAAAGCCAAACATTGATGATGCATGTTGATGTGGAAAATATACCATCACAGATACAGAAGCATTAGCATGTAGAGCTATTATCCCTGAATTATGTTTTTGTTATGTTGTCATGAATTTTCTTGCTAAATTTTAAATGAAGCACTTATATATGTTGTTTATCAAGCACTCTTTTTTTTGTTGTTGTTGTTTCAGAGTCCAGTATCAGAAAACACATCAAGATGTTTGTGCTCACCTTCGAGGATGGCTCTATGACCGCTCTTGGATGACATCTTGTCCAAAGGTGTTTCTTCACTTTTCAAGTCTGAATCTTTTACAGCATCATCTGTCTGGCTCCCAGGGTGACTCCTCAATGTTGATGAACACATGATTCGCCCAATTTCCACTTCCTGTTAGGAGACATTCAAAGCATACATGTAAAAAGCTATCAGTGGGGAACAGATGTGGTTTAGAAAGCAGGAGCGATGGAAGGAGGGGGTTTCTGGTGTGAGTGATGTTTTCTAATATGCTTTGGGGAAGTTTTTGATAACTTTGCCAAGAACTGCAAACACACATCTGACGCCTAGTTTACTCCTCTGCCCCTGGTTCCACTTAGGAATCAGCTTTTCTTTATGTACATATTCTCTCCTCCTCATAAAGTGAAAATAAGGGTCACAACGCAGTGTAATGTATGTTAATAGATACAGCTCCCTGGGCCTGAGAAATGTCAATGAGAGGTTTTCAGAAAATAGCCATATATCAAAATTATATGCTAAAGACAGAAGGAAATGAGTTTTTTTAATGTCATGCTCACCCTATAATGATAATCTTAGCAATTACAGAGCTCCCGAATTACAAACACATTCAACCACAAAATAGTGAGTACAGTTTGTCAGTTTAAAAAGATTATGAAATTGCTTCTTTCAGATAGTAATCAAGTGTGTAGTGATAAAAGATTCCCAATGAAAAAACAGGCAAAAATATTTAAACATTAAGTCTAGCATTCTATATTTTATAAATTGAATAATATAAGCCAACACACCAAACCCATCATACTAAATAACTTGAAGTAATATAGGAGATAGGAAATGAACACAGCAAAATTCTATAATTTTAAATCAATATGCTGAGAGTATTTTAAAAGCTACATATAAGATTTAGATGTTTGAACTTGGAGTGTGTATTTCTAAGCAACAGGCATTCAAACAATGTTATTGCCTGTTGCATTTAATATATTGTCCCAAAAGAGTAAAGTTAAAGAGCTGGCTAAAAAATAAAAAATAAAACATTTCTCAGACAGGAAAAATTGAATTTAATTCCATGATTAGGAAAAGCAAGTCACCAGGAAAAACAACCTGTTATTATATTTTCAAATTCATATATCTATATAATATTTATTTAATTATTACAGACTCGCAAAATATATGCTATGCAGGCCACATTACTGTGTCCTTTAATTGGACTAAGTCATTTTCAGTTGAAAGAAGGCAAAGAGGTTTATATTTTTAAAAGCATTGTTTTTAATATTAGTATTTCCATGAATTATTAAATATCCAAATGTTGCTAGCATATACTGATTCATTATGCTGAAACAGACACCAGCCATGCCAAAGAGAAAATGAATGCTTCAAAATGCTATTCTTGATCATAAAAACAATCATGATTTGAAAAAAATAAGAAAATGAATGTAGTCTATGGACTAAGATTGATAACTTGAAAGAATAATAGTAGTTTTATGTAGAAACACAAAAGTGTGATTTGGTGACATTATTGAAGCAAATATTTCAGCCAGTGATGAAAAAATATATATACATATATTTGTGGTATTTATATTCTCAAATGGAATTCACAGTCTCTAGTGTATGTCATAAATCTGAGGTTAAGAGATGTCATTGACATTTCACATGTGAATGTGTGACCCTGTATCCGAGCCTCAGTCACCACAACCTGACATTCTGATGTATATTTTTCAGGGCCATGGCAAATGAAAAAATGTACCCTACAGGATATTTTACTGAGATGCCTCTAATCGAAGCAGTGATCTAGCTTAATCCTTTTTATCTGTTTTATGCACTGAGCTGTACACATGAGTTATTTTGAATAAAATTCCATATGCTTACATAAGTACATAAATGCCTGTTTGAAAAAAATAAATGAAACACTTGACAATGAGGAGCTTCAAGTCAAGCTTGCCATTAGCTGCCAATTATCTAGTTGAAAGCCCACAGTTGTGGTTTCCATCCTAGGGAGAGGCAAATTATAACAAGTCACATAACTTTCTACAGATATAAAAATTGATTCAGAAAAATTATCCTAGTGATGAACTCATGCAAAGGCTCTCCTGGAAAACAATAATATGCAGTCAATCCTTTAAGAATAAGTGAGGTTTTACTAGATGTAGAATACACATGCAAATATACTAAGACGGGAAAAATTATAACACATAAAAATGTGTCAAAGTATCACTATTTTCAGATAATATGATAGTCTACATGAGTGACCCCAAAAATTCATCCAGGGAACTCCTTCAGCTGATAAACAACTTCAGCAAAACAGCTGGATACAAAATTAACTCAAAAAAAAAAAAAAATCAGAAGCCTTCTTGTAGACCAAAGACAAAAGGGCTGAGAAAGAAATTAGGGAAAAGACAAAAGGGCTGAGAAAGAAATTAGGGAAACAACATCCTTCACAATAGCCAATAACATAAAGTACCTGATGTGACTCTAACCAAGCAAGTGAAAGACCCGTTTAAAAACAAACAAACAAACAAACAAAAAACATCAAGTCTCTGAAGAAAGAAATTGAAGAAGATATCAGAAGAAGGAAAGATCTCTCTTGCTCATGGATCAGTAGGATTAACATAGTGAAAGTGGCCATCCTGCCAAAAGCAATCTACAGATTCAATGCAATTCCCATCAAAATACCAAAACAATTCTTTACAGAACTTGAAAGAAAAATTCTCATCTTCATATGAAAACAACAACAACAACAACAAAAAAACCAGAATTGCCAAAACGATTCTGTACAACAACCAATCTTCTGGAGGTATCTCCATCCCAAATCTCAAGCTGTACTACAGAGCAATAGTAATAAAAACCACATATAGTACTGGCATAGAAACAGAATGGTGCATAAGTGGAATTGAACTGAAAACCCAGAAATAAACCCACACACCAATGGATACTTGATATTTGACAAAGAATCCAAAACCATACAACGGAAAAAAAGACAGCATCTTCAACAAATGGTGCTGGTCTAACTGGATGTCTACAAGTAGAAAAATGCAAATAAATCCCTATTTATCACCCTTCACAAAACTAAAGTCCAAGTGGATCAAAGAACCCAACATAAAACCAGACAGACTAAATAGGTTAGAAGAAAAAGTGGGGAAAAGCCTAGAACTCATTGGTACAATTGACAACTTCCTGAACAGAACACCAACAGCATACGCTCTAAGAGCAACAATCAATAAATAGGATCTCATGAAACTGAAAAATTTTCATAAAGCAATGGACACTGTCGTCAGAAGAAAACAACAGCTTACAGACTGGGAAAGGATCTTCACCAACCCTGTATCTGACAGAGGGCTAATATTCAGAATATATAAAGAACTCAAGAAGTTAAAAGGCAAGAAATCAAGTAATCTAATTAAAAATGGGGTACAGAGCTAAACAGAAAATTCTCAATGGAGGAATATTGAATTGCAGAGAAACACATAAAGAAATGCTCAGTTTCCTTAGTCATCAGGGAGGTGCAAATCAAAATGACACTGAGATTCACCTTACACCCATCAGAATGGTTAAGATCAAAAATCTATACACCTGAAGAAGATAAACAGGAAAGAGGACCCGGGGTAAGATGATCAATCCTCACTTAGAAAGACAAATGGAAGGTGCATTGGACATAGGAGAAAACAAATAACAGGTCAGGAGCCTACCGAAGAGGTCCCCTGAGAGACTCTACCTAGCAGTGTATCAAAGCAAATACTAAGACTCATAACCAAACCTTCAGCAGAGTGCAGGGAAACATATGAAAGAAGGGGAGTTTGTATGACATGGAAAGGATAGGAGCTCCACAAGAACCAAATATATCTGGGCACAGGGGTCTTTTCTGAGACTGACACTCCACCAAGGACCATGTATGGATATAACCTAGAACCTCTGCATGGATGAAGCCTGTGGTAGCTCAGTAACCAACTGGTTTCCCATAGTAAGGGGAAGAGGGACTATTTTTGACAGGAACTCAATGGTAGGCTCTTTGACCTTCCCAACCCCCCAAGGGAGGAGCAGTCCTGCTAGGCCACAGAGAAGGACTTTGTAGCCAGTTCTGAAGATACCTGATAAAACAGAATCAGATGAAAGGGGAGGAGGTCTTCCCCAATCAGTGGACTTGGAAAGGGGCAAGGAGGAGATGAGGGAGGGAGGGTGTGGGAGGGAATGAGGAAGCAGATACAGCTGGGATACAGAGTTAATAAATAATAAATAAAAACATAAAAAAAAACCCCAAGTGACAGTACATGCTGGAGAGGTTGTGGAGAAAGGGGAACCCTCCTCCATTGCCAGTGAGAATGAACACTTTGGAAATTTCCACTTTGGAAATCAATCTGGCGGTTTCTCAGACAATTAGGAATAACGCTTCCTCAAGATCCAGCTATACCACTCCTAGGCATATATTCAAAAGATGTTCAAGTACACAACAAGGACATTTGCTGAACCATGTTTGTAGCAGCTCTATTCATAATAGCCATAACCTGGAAACAACCCAGATATTTCTCAGTTGAGGAATGGATACAGAAATTGTAGTATATTTACATAATGGAATACTACTCAGCAATTAAAAACAAGGAAATCATGAAATTTGCAAGTAAATGATGGGAACAAGAAAAAAAGTCATCCTGAGTGAGGTATCCCAGAAAAAGAAAGACACACATGTGGTATATACTCACTTATAAGTGGATACTAGACATAACATAGCATAAGCCTACAAAGATCTGTACACCTAAAGAAGGTGAGCTAGAAGGAAGACCCTGGGTAAGATGATCAATCCTCCCTTAAAAAGGCAAATGGTATGGACATTGGAAGAAGGAGAAAATAGGAAACAGGACAGGAGCCTACCATGGAGTGCCTCTGAAAGACTCTGCCCAGCAGTGTATCAATGCAGATACGGAGACTCATAAACAAACTTTGGCCAGAGTCCAGGGAATCTTAGGAAAGAAGTGGGAGATGGTAAGACCTGGAGAGGATGAGAGCTCCACAAGAAGAGCAAAAGAACCAAAATATCAGGGCACAAAGGTCTTTTTTGAGACTGATTCTCCAATCAAGGACCATGTATGGAGATAACCTAACACCTCTGCTCAGATGAAGCCTATGGCAGCTCAGTATCCAAGTGGGTTTCCCTAGTAATGGGAATA